GTGCTATTATTAGTGCTTTTGGTAGATTGAACATTAGAACATGAATGTGCATAACGGGTGTAAATTGCATATTTCTTTTTGTCATGAAAATTGAGATGCTGTTTTGGTTGAATGTAAATGTTTATACAGAAACATGTTTGGATTCAAACTACCTTTGGTAACTCGTATTTCTCTCTTTTTTCCCTGTTTAGGTGCGCTTCTAACAAATTATATATGTTTTGGTACTGTGTTCGGTGATATGGTGTTCTATAGTAAATGGTTATTTCCCAGATTATACAACCATACAAGCCTAGCAACAGAAATTGATCATTGCCTGAAGTGCCATTTAGCTTTAGCATTCTCATTTATGCAAGGAACTGTGATAATATTTGAATCATACATTGAGGCCGAGCTCAAGATCTTAGTTTACTATTGGCATTTAACATTATCTGCACCCCTGTGAGAAAGGGAGAAGCAGGGAGGGCGCCTAGGCGCCCAACCGGTGCAGAAACTTGGCGCCTAGGCGCCTGATTCAGCTTTAAATCTAGCTGATTTTTTCCTTCATATAAAAACCCGGGTTTTTGAGTGGAAGAAGTGAGAAAACTTGGAGAGAATTTAACAAGAAAGAGGTTGTTCTTCTTGGGTATAAATTCAAAGCTATTTTTTCTTTCTTGGGGATTAACTTGAGGCTTGTTCAAGTAATCCAATCCATTGTACCTCATATATATTGAAAATCATTTCTTCCCCAATTTTCTTATATTTCTTTTTATCTTCAAGTGGTTTGGGATTTTCACATTACAAGTTTATTTGTTCTTGGGCAATCTTGGGAAGTGTTTTTCCCAACAATTTGATATCAGAGCTTCTTCTTAAATCAGGGTGGTTAAGCTCCGATTTTTGGTGGGTGGCTTGAACTTTGTTGTGCACACAAGGTGTTTGTGAAAATTTTCAAGTGAACTTTGTTGTTTTATTTCCGGTAAGTAAGTAGATAAATCATATCTACTAGAGGAACGGTGAAGATTGGAAAGTATGAGATAGAGAAATTCAATGGGAAGAATGACTTCTCATATTGGAGAATGCAAATGAGAAATTTGTTAGTTTCTCAAAAGTTGCACAAGGCATTGGTGGGAAAGGAGAAGAAGCACATAGATATGTTTGACGAGGATTGGGAAGATCTAGATCTTGAGGCACGAGCGTCTATCATTCTATGCCTTGAAAGATATGTTGCTTTCTTGGTTGATGACGAGAAAACGGCGGCGGAGGTGTGGACAAAGTTGGAGGCGAACTTCATGACGAAGACTCTAACAAATCGGATCTATTTGAAGTCCAAATTGTATACTTGCAAGATGGATGAAGGTACACCAATCCGGGAGTACGTCAACAAGTTTGATAGGTGCATATCGGACTTGAAGGACATTGATGTGAAAGTAGATGATGACGATCAAGCATTTCTACTACTTCTTTCATTGCCAAAGTCTTACGAGAACCTAGTACAAACATTGATGCTTGTGGGTAATAAACTTGTGATGGAGGACACTAGAACATCACTTCTAGCGGATGATCTTTGAGAGATTGCAACTAGTGGCATGTTTGCCATTGGTAACAAGAAGCAAGCTCAATGATTGTTTGTAAGAGGTAGAAGCAAAGTGTGACCAAAGGGCAAGGGAGAAAAATCTAGATCGAGTTCTAGACCTCTTGCGAAAAGGCCTTGTTTCGAATGCGGTGAGTTTAGGCATTTCAAGGCGAATTGTACTAACAAAAGGGGTTGGAAGAAGAACAATAAGAACAACAATAACGGAAAGGTGCAAGTCAAGCAAGAGGTCAGCTATGCCTCGGAAGGAGGGGAAAGCGATGAGTGCTACACCATCTCTTGTGATGAAGAAATCTCCGGTAAGTGGATTATTGACTCTGGATGCTCTTACCATATGTGTCCAAATAGGAAGTGGTTTACTACCTATAGAAGCACTGATGGTGGAACCGTGTTGATGGGTAATAACCATTCTTGTAAAACGGTGGGGCTCGGTTCAATTAGAATCAAGATGTATGATGGAGTGGTTAGAACATTGATAGATGTTAGATATCTTCCTGATTTGCGGAAGAACCTTATCTCTGTTGGTGCTTTAGACTCCGGTGGTTGCAAGATTGTAACATGGAATGGAGTAAAGAAGGTTGTTCGTGGTTCTTTGATTATGATGAAGGGTATTCGTGAAGGCAATCTCTATGCTCTTCAGGGTACTACAGTTATAGAAGATGTAGCAGTTGGAATAAGTGGAAGTGGTGGAGACCCATGTGAGTGCACTCGGCTATGGCATAGGATGCTTGGGCATATGTCTAAAAAGGGGCTAGATCTGCTAGTCAAGAAAGGTTTGCTAAAGAACTTGAAGAAGCCTTGCATGTATTTTTGCGAGCATTGCGTGTACGGTAAACATAGAAGTAGATGTATTCTAAACTATGTACACACGGATGTATGGGGTCCGACTTCTGTCACTTCCAAAGGCGGTTCCAAGTATTTTGTCACATTTGTTGATGATTATTCTAGATATGATTGGATTTATTTTTTGAATCATGAGAATGAGGTATTCGACACTTTCAAGAAGTGGGAAGCAATGATTGAAAACATAACAGGAAAGAAATTGAAGACACTGCAATCTAATAACAGTACTGAGTTATACAAATGGTGCTTTCAAGGAGTGTTGTGGTAAGGAAGGCATTGCGAGACACTGGGCAGTTAGGAATATACTGCAACAGAATGGGGTCGCAGAAAGACTGAATCGCACATTTCGAGAGAAATCGATGTATATGTGATCCTATGCTGGTTTGGGCAGAGAATGGTGGGCAGAGTCGGTTGCAATTGCTTGCTACATAGTGAACCGATCTCTACATTCAAAGTTAGATGGAGATGTACCTTACAGGGTATTGACAGGAGAACATGCAGATTATGAGAAACTCAGAATATTCGGATGCACAGCCTACTTCACGTCAACGAGGGAAAGCTTGATGCGAGGGCCAAGAAGGCTATATTCTTGGGGTATGTGGCAGGTGTAAAAGGCTATCACCTATGGTTGTAGAGGATTCTAGGTTCATAATCAGTAGAGATGTTACTTTTGATGAGAACTCCATGATAGCTTCGTTGAAAGCTACAGTGCCCGGTGGGATGATGTTGAGACTACAAAGTCTCAAGTTGTTGACATAGAACCTAGAGATCAACCTGGTTCTAGTCATGTTCAAGAGGAGCATAATGCAGACACTCAAGATGAGAGTGATGATGAGCTTGAATAAGAGGCGGTTCAGCAAGAGAATGTACAGGCACAGCAACAACAGCAGCTTGCAGATAACTTGGCTTCCTCTAAGCCACAACGTACTTACAAGCAAGTTCTAAAGTTGGGGTCAGACGAGCCTTTGAGGCACTATGGGCAGACAAATTTGGTTGAGTATGCACTCTCGGTGGAGGATAATGAGCCTGCCACTTTCAAGGAAGCTATTTTAAACAACAATAGTGAGAGTTAGTTGGCAGCCATGGAAGAAGAGATGGAATCACTTCACAAGAACCAAATATGGGAGGTTGTCCCATTGCCCATAGGTAAGAAAGCTATTGGTTGTACAAAAAGAAAGAGGATCCTACCAAATTCGGTGGTACAAGATTCAAAGCAAGGTTAGTGGCTAAGAGGTTTGCATAAAGAGATGGAGTTGACTACAATGAGATCTTTTCTCCGGTGGTCAAGCATACTTCCATTCGAGTGCTATTGAGTATTGTTGCTCATCATGATCTTGAGCTGGAACAACTCGATGTCAAAATCACCTTCTTGCACGGGGACTTGGATGAGGAAATCTATATGCATCAACCTGAGGGCTACAAAGTTGAGGATAAGGAATGTCAGGTATGTCGCTTGAGAAAATCACTATATGGATTAAAACAATCTTCTCGACAGTGGTACAAGTAATTTGACACCTTCATGCTAAAGTATTGTTTCTCCAGAAGTAAGCATGACTGTTGTGTTTATATTCGAAAACTTCGGGGAGGTAACTATATCTATCTTCTTTTGTATGTGGATGACATACTTATCGCTTCGAAAAGCAAGGTGGAGATAGATAGGTTGAAATCTCAACTTGGTAAAGAGTTTGAGATAAAGGATATGGGGGCTGCTAGGAAAATACTGGGTATTGAGATTAGAAGATAGAGGACGAATCGGCGAATGTTCTTGAGTCAGAAAGCCTACATTGAGCGGGTTATTGCTAGGTTCGGGTTGCAAGGTGCAAAATCAGTGGTGACTCCATTGGCTCCACATTTCAGGCTCTCTGGTAAACAATCTCTTACTACGGCGAAAGAAAAGGTACGCATGGATCATGTACCTTATGCTAGTGCAGTTGACAGTTTGATGTATGCCATGGTGTGTACACGTCCAGATATTTCACAGGCGGTTAGTGTGGTCAGTAGATTCATGGCGAATCCGGGGAAGGCACATTGGGAAGCTGTGAAGTGGATCCTGAGGTACTTAAAAGGTACCGCGGATACGGGTTTATGTTTTGGGGGAGATGCATGTCATATAAGTGGGTTTGTGGACTCGAATTATGTAGGTGATCTAGATAGACGACGATCTACTACTGGATATGTGTTTTGCATACATGGTGCCCCAGTTAGTTGGCGATCGATGTTACAGGCTACAGTGGCTCTTTCTACTACAGAGGCCGAGTATATGGTCATGGCAAAGGGAGTGAAGGAAGCATTATGGTTGTGGGGTCTTCTAGATGATTTGGGGATTGAGCAGGATTGTGTGGACTTATGGTGTGATAGCCAGAGTGGGATTCACTTGGCTAAGAATCAGGTTCATCATGCTCGAACCAAGCATATCGACGTCAGGTATCATTTTGTGCGTGATGTCATAAAGGAAGGTGATATTTCTCTATTGAAGGTAAACACAAATGAGAACCCAGCAGACATGTTAACCAAAATAGTAACAAGTAGCAAGTTTCAGCATTGCTTGGATTTGCTTCACATTAATCCGTGCTGATATGCCCGAGTGGGCATGGCCCTTCAGGGCGGGGTTGAAATGAGGTGAAGAGTATATGAAGGTGGAGGTGAACTACGGAGGCTTGATCCCGAATTTTGGGTACGTAGGCAACCATGGTTTGAATGGTGCAGCCGAGTTTAGCGCTTGCTGCTTCTTCGTGTGTTCGTCTAAAATTTGAGGTCTATCAAATGATGTACGAGGTGGAGAATTGTGAGAAAAAGAGAAACAGGGAGGGCGCCTAGGCGCCATGAGTAGGCACCTAGGCACCCAACCGGTGCAGAAACTTGGCGCCTAGGCGCACGATTCAGCTTTAAATATAGCTGATTTTTTCCTTCATATAAAAACCTAGGTTTTTGAGTGAAAGAAGTGAGAAAACTTGGAGAGAATTTAACAAGAAAGAGGTTGTTCTTCTTAGGTATAAATTCAAAGCTATTTTTTTCTTGGGGATTAACTTGAGACTTGTTCAAGTAATCCAATCCATTGTACCTCATATATATTAAAAATCATTTCTTCCCCAATTTTCTTATCTTTCTTTTCATCTTCAAGTGGTTTGGGATTTTCACATTGCAAGTTTATTTGTTCTTGGGCAATCTTGGGAAGTGTTTTTCCCAACAACCCCAAATATGGTGGCCGAGCTCAGTCGTATGGCCGTTACCCCAAACCAATCAATGCCTGAAGTGCCTCACATTGGTTAAAAAAAGATACAACATATTTGTTACAGCAACATAAAAAATCTCATAATACAAATTCGCCAACTGAAATGCATTAATTTCTCGAACTATTGAGCATGCACAGAATCATATTTTGCACAATGTTTCCATATACAAAAGTTCCATTACAAGCAAACTACTAATTCCAATGGCAATGAAAATACTACATAATTTACGACAATTTTAGTGCCGATTACATAATATGGAGTTTGACAAATACAAGAAAACTCTTTCACCCGATCACATAGTTGGACAAATTCATGGGCATTTTCCCTTTCCTTTCCCATTATCCTCCACAGTATCCTAGAAGACAATTATGTCGACGAATATATCCATGGCATTTTTTTTTAAAAAATATTTGAGGTTTTTTACTTATTTTTTAAATATGTGAGTTTTTTTTTTTAAATATTTGAGGATTTTTAAAAATAATAATAATAAGTGCTTACTTGAATGTCTCTAACATATCTATGTTAATGGAATTGGTGAGGTTTTTTGGCCTTGAAAAATCCCTCACACCGAGTCAAAAACCTCACAAGTAAGCACTTATTATTTAAATATTTGAGGTTTTTTTAAACATTTAACATAGGTCATACATACAAAAACCTCACAAGTAAGCACTTATTTTTCACTTTCCAATTATAAGTTGGAAGTCAATGGGATTAACAATTATAGCTTAATCGATTATTTTGAACAGAGATATAATAATAAGTTTTGTTCACTCTCCATGAATGGTTGCCAAGGAGATCCAAGAGCTCCAATAGAAACTATAGAAACCCAAACATTTTTGGTCGTCTCGATCCCGACATTGGCCATGGACAACCTTAATTCCACAATTCTCGATATGAAATCCAATCCTCCGCCATTCGATTTTGGAATAATTCATCTCGAGGTAATCAAAATTTGTCAACCTTTATTTCGTTGTCTCAAAATGGACTATGATTCTACAAAATACGTTGTCTTGAACCATGCAATGTGTTGAGACTAATTAGTATGGGTGTATGCCACGTGGTTGGTTGAGAGAGGACAATTGATTCAAGTCATAATTTATTCTTTGGATTAATTCAAATAATTAATGTTATTAGTTGATGCAAATTAACCTTAAACTAATTAAGATAATTTTAATATTTTTTTAATACTTGTTAATAATTTCACTTTGATAAAAATGTATTTACATCTCATAGAAATATTTTATCTACATGAATGCACTTTGTTAACAAGTAGAACGTGTATTTTCTCTCTCTATTTTCTAGGAAGAGTGAATATTTAATAGCTGGATAGTGATTATAAACTGTGGGTGGTACATAACGTTTGGATAATTGATAGTAATTGTTGGTTTATATTTTGTAGATAAAAAGTATGTTTAACCAACTTAAATTATAATTTAAACTTGCACATTATTGAATTATGCTTGATAATGGGATGCTAACTTGGGTTAAGTTCTCGTTTGCCCAAGTTCATGCAACGAAATTGGGACGAATGATACAAATACCTAGTTTACTTGAAAATTTGAACAATTCAATTCGACTTTTAGTACCTGTGCTTAATTGAAGGTCCATACTCAATAGTCTTCTCGTGCAAAGTTTTGGAGATAAATCAACCTCTAATACATATATCCGACTAAGAATTGAGTTTCTTGGTTATCATATTTCTAATTATGAAACCATTTACCAAATACTAGTTTAATATAAATTTGTTGAATAACATTAGATGTATATTTTGGTTGACTTCTTTAGCAATCCCCTATGTAGAAGAAATTTGGGCAATGATGTGATGGTTGCAATCAAAATCAATGATGTAAATCTAGTTGTATGGAAAAGTTTAAATCAAAGTGTTAATCCATAATGTACATGCAGCATGGTTAAATAAAACCCTCCCAAATTAACCCTTCATTCATGTAATTGAAAGGGCAATAATTGACTTAGCCATAATGTTGTATTTTAATTTCTAAGTACCCTTCATTAATTGTAGAAATTTATCCAATCCTATCCTATTTGCTATTGGCACGAGGGAGAAAGCATTAGCTTTAAACTTAATTGTTTATTGCAAAATAACATAGTACATTAGCATTGTGTTGTTTTCATTTTCAATGTCCTCATATATGTTCCTTGTTTTTCATAATTTTGTGGAAATATATTCTTTAAATGAACATGTTTAATAAAAATAACGTTTAATCTAATTGTAATTGGATGAATATATTTTTGGTCGGTTGACTATAATTTGAATCAAAATCTCCATGGATTTGGGAAGGTACCAATCCAGCAGAGGATTGAAGCCCTGGATTGGATTAGTGCCCAGAGCCAGCAATTCCTCCCTCGATGCTTCTTCTCCGGTCGGAATCCAGGCAATGTCTCCTGGATTGAAAATGGCGGAGCTTCTTCAGTTGAGCATCAGCACAAGCTTGTCAGTGTTGTCGGGATAGGCTCTGCAGTCTTCTTTCGCCGCCTCCATCCATTCTCATTGGACGATTGGCGTGCCATAAAAAGGTGCAATGTTTACGAATCTTTACTGGCTATAATCGGGGCTGTTTAAATTGTTCAGCTTGACACGAAGTTAATTGGTAATACTAGAAATGGGTTTGATTTATTCTTATATATGTACACAGTGGTTAATCTCGAAACTAGTAAAAGAGTAATTTTTTGAATTTAAAGAGAATGATGAAATCAGAAGGTGAATACGCTCCTGATGTTTGTATAAAATATGATGACAAGTATAATTTTGAGAGGCATTAGCAATGATTAATTGCCTTATAATTGTACATGAGAAATTCTAGATTTGACATTTTTTGAGATGGAGAAAAAGGCGTGGGACACTGGTTTTTAACCAATTTTACTTTTCTTCTTGAAGAAACTTGGATTATAAAGGGAGCCTTAGAGTTGCATGTAACAGTATAACGATAAGTAATGTTTATCTTAGTGGTATTAAATTGTGTCTTGCGACCAGTTCAAGAAGTCAAAACCTCCTGCCTATCCCTTAGTCATTATTGATATATTTGAAACTGCAATGGATGTATCACTAAAGCATATTGTTTCTTAAAATTTAGAGCAGTTTTTAGTTCCATGTCAGTGCTAGTCAGGTTTCACCTAATAGTAAAGCTAGCACAGCATTTGCCGAAAGTAGCAATGCTGAATGATTCAGTTAAGAAAAAACTTGAATGTGGGTAAATTACTTCATTAAAAATAAATCAGAACCACGATGAACATCAGATTCCTAATAAGGGGTTTGTGTTAATCAAAGGTTCTTATCCAAGAAGTGTCCACTGATTCGTGCTTATGGGGCTATACGCTCTGATGCGAGGACTAATATAGCTTCTGAATGGGAAGCTTTCGGTTCATTTTATTTCATGGGCCTCAGGTAATAAGTTTTTTCTTTCTGGGAAAGTACTGCTATTATTCTGTAGTATATGAAGGCGTGACTTTCATTTGTATATAAGCAACCTGTTGCTAGATACTAAATTCAGGTTGAATTTGATGAGTTTGAAGGAAGCTCAATGATTGCTGTAACGGTTGCATGGGACAGTGCCCAGGGGCGGACCCACATGGGGTCATGTGGGGTCAAATGACCCCACAGTTTTCTGGAATTTTTTTTTTTTTTGGTGCTGAAACTTAATTTTCTGTTTTTTTTTGTGATGAAAATTCAATTTTCTGCCCTAAAAAGTCCAAATTCTAAATCTATATCCATATCACATGGTCCATATCGAACATGAACAGCAAACAATCGATTTTTCCTTTTTTTTCATGATATGTTGTTCGGAAAAAAAAAAATTTTGACCCCACAGTTTAAATGGTTTGGGTCCGCCCCTGACAGTGCCCCATCATTTTTTATTTGCGTTGTTGTCTTGCTGTACTCAATATATAATACTCTTGCAGGTGTCTTCTGCTGTCAAAAAATTAAATAAAGACGCTCCACAGGCTATTGTGCTTAGCCAGACACATATTCCTAGTAAAATATTATGGGACGCATCCGTAAGGCGAACCTTGGACATGATAAACAGAAAAAATTCAATGCTGATAAAGGTTCAATATTTAGATATCCTTCACTTCTGGAATCCTTGATTTCGTTTATAGGACATGTATGGATATCTATAGTACGGACACTTCAACTAGGGTAATCTGCCCGGATACGTGTCAGATACCGACTCTTCTCAAAAAATTTGTCATGTTTATTTTTTTTCTTTATCAGAAATATTATATATTTTTAACTCAAAGTTATTACTAAATAACAAATATGTATTCATATTTAAAAGATTTCAACAAAAAAATTAATAACAAGTATAAAACTAAATTTATACTATAGAAATAAAGAATTTAAAAAATTTAATCAACGTGTCGATAACGTATCTTGTTAGTAGTTTTTTGAAAAATCGTGTGGTAGTGTATCGGACACGCGTGTCCGTGTCAGTGCTTCATAGATGGTTATGATAACAACTACAAATGGAGATTAAATGATGATGTCTGAGTAATAAGAGCTCACAACATTTTTCTGGAAACTGCAACTGAAGTTCTCAATGATTTTATTTTCATCTTCCGGCTAAGTTTTCCCTTTTCTATATATCTATCGGCTCTGGTTACATTTTCCTTCTCTTATAAATAAAGGTTGTACTTGCACGTAGCAACAGAGTACTGACTACTGTAGATGTCGATCCTTTAATGTGGCTCTCATGCTTACAGGTATTCATATCTCTTATAATTTAATTTTGAGTTTAACTCATTTGATGGGTGATCTACGGGATAAGGTGACGTTTACTATTATGCTTAACCCTTGTAGACTGAAGGGGATAATGCCTATGCCTTTCGTCTTCAGCCTCCTGAATCGCCTGCATTCATTGGTAACACTGAGAGTAAAATTATGATCCTCTCTATTAGAAGAAAGTGAGAATCCATTTCACGTTTTGCACTTTCACTTCCATAATAGTCTCGGTCATAAATTAAAAATAATAATCAATTTCATCTTTTGCCTATTCGCTTCTGTTATAGTGTCAACTTTTTGCTTAGCATCAGAGTACATATAATATTCGCAAGTGATCAAGTTTTAAATGTCTATGCGTTTTCTCAAATTTCGGCAACCACAAAGCCATATCAATTTATTTGTCATTCTATGAATTTGGAAGCAAAGTATAAGCATAATGCAATGTCTTATTTTCTTCTTATTGAGGCAAAAAGGTAGTTATTTAACTTGGAATTGACTTTTGTCAAGAATTCAATAAACAATTCAATCATCTGCACTGTTACATTGACAACATTTTTTTTTCAAGTTTGTGTATTATGCGTTAGTCTATACGTGCAGAATGATTATGTATTTCAATGGATTTTTTACTCACACATATTGAAGTAAACAATCACACCATGCTGTGAAAAACTTAAATTAAATGCACCAACTATACAATTTTATTTTATTTTTTTCCTTCTAGAAAATTGAAAAAGTGGATTTGTACATATAGGAAGTAGTTCCTTCAACGGACTAATTAAATTTAGGAAATTAGAAATAGGTTACTGATTGAAATTTCCTTGAAATTCAAAAATTTGAATCTCTGTATGGGAAGTTCATATGCTGGCTGTAAAATTATCTTGATATTGCATCATTATTTGCTTGACCCCAATTTTGTCTACTTTTCATGGAGTCCTTTAATTTTATGTGAGGATTCTATGTAATTCACCCCCCACCCCCCCGCGGTGGTGTGGACATGATGAATTCCATTACATTGAATTATGCCGTCTTTCAATTACTTGTACTTTGTAAATAGCCAGAGCGACTATTTTATAGAGATCGGCTAAATATTTCTAGCGATGCTTTGGCTGGAACACGGGCAAGAGGTGGATCTGAGTCTCTAGATACATAGATAAGAAATGATTTACTTTCCAGGTTAATCTCAAATAAAACAATAATTCTATATTGTATTTGATACTTTGAATATACTTCACTCATCTCATTTCTGTTTCCATTGAATGTTAAACTCAATCATTCATTTAATTTTCGATTGATTTGCAGTCCTAAAGATCACCACGAGTTTACTGTAGTTCAGGAATATATTAGAAAAAAAAACTAGAGGCAAGTGATGCCAAAACCTTCTGCAGATGTCTGCAGTATGCCTCTGTAATTTCATTTTACATATATAAGCATATGTTAGAAGGCTTTGTTCTGTTTACTTGATTTTCCATTCTGCAAATGACCATAGTTTTGTGATCTATTATGCTTTCCAGACTGTATGTTCCAGCATAGTGGTTGAACCAGAAAAAGCTCTACGAAAACTCCCCAAGAGTTCAACATCTTTATGCTCGATGATGATGTGTGTTCTTTATACTTACTTTTAATACTTTAAATTCCTCGTTGTAGCTTTTATTTATCACGTGCATTGACAAAACTTTGTCTCTGAAGTTCTTAGAGTCATAAAACAAACTTTATTGGTTGGTTCAAAACATATCACCTTAGCCGCTCTCCCATGATAAAACAAAGACAAAAAGACCAAATAACTGCCAAACCATTACCAAATAACTGCCAAACCATCTGTAGTATTATTTGTTTGGTGGTTGTTTTGTCAATTATTTGGATGAAGTAAGGTAAACTCGAGAAGGATTTTAGTTTTAAAATATATACAGAAAGAGATCTTCAAGGTGTGCTGAACAATGACAACCCAAATGACTGGAAGAAGGCTATGATTTTAGAGTGGAACTTGAAAAGAAATTTCTTATAAAGAGTACTGTTGACCTCACTGCAGAGATGGAAATGGAATGAACAAGCAGACGAGTATAAACTACTCTCAAGCTGAGATAATAATAATATTCTCTGTATCTTGCAGACTAGTTTAACTTGGACCCCCTATTTCAGTACGTGAATTTGACTATTTTCTATACAGAAATCCCAATGTTACAACTGTGATTTGTTTTACCAAATCACCTTATATTAATTATTATTCCATTTCAGTGATTGCAGAAATTACCAAAGGCCTTTTAATAAACAAAGCAACATACAGCTAAAATTAAACAACCAGCAGAGTTCACACTGCATAGACACCATAAACTTCAATGGACTCTTTACCTTCAAACTAAAAATTTTTTTTAACTTGAGTTGGGACTCACAGGATAAATTTCTAGAGTTTCAAAGTGATTGTGACTTTCGTAACCCTGTAATAGTTATTGCATTGATGGGTTTTGTGATAAAAATTAAATGACTGCTAGTCAGTTTCAATAGATTACAATTGTCAAGATAAGAAGTTCTAATTTTTTGTGTGGTTGCCAGTTTAAGATTTTGTCGTCCCTTCATCCAACTCCAGCTGTTTGTGGATTTCCCACTAAAGAGGCACGGGTTTTAATAGCAAAACTGGTATATAAATATTGCTGCACTACTTATGCCATCAATAATTGTCTGCACTTTTCTCGGCTATAGCTTTATAGGATCTGATTTTAACCATTACTTGCTGTCTATATGACACGAAAAATTAATCCACAATTCTGCAATCTCACCATTAATCAACATATTGTGTAGAAATGTTTGACAGAGGACTATAAGCTGGCCCTGTTAGGTGGTTTGGTGGTGGGGAAAATGAGTTTGCAGTGGGAATGAGGTCTGCCTTGGTTGGCAAGGTGAAAACTTATAACCTTTCTTTATCCTTTCATATTTTTCAAATTCTCCATACCACATAGTGAGTTCTGTTAGCTGAAAAGAACCTATGCAAAGAACTACTAGAGTGTAATTAGCATATTGAGCTAATTTTGTGTGTTGTGTATTGTTGATTGTCCATAAAATTTTGTGGCAATAAAATTAATTATATAATATTGATTTTAATCTTAAGGGTGTTGGTGCATTGATCTGTGCGGGAACTGGGATAGTAGAAGGAAGTAATTCTGCCCTGGAGTGGCAGTAACTGGAGCTGAAGGCTTCACAAGTTTGTTTTTGACTGCTTGTATGTGCTAGAAATTCCACTGCCAGTTAATCATTTTGTCACATACAGTTTCTTTGAAGAAAATAAAATGATGGTAAATATCTATTTCTTCCATGTTGTTTGCGCCTTGTTTTTCAGTACACCAAATTGATGAAACTTGCACCTCTTCTGACAACAAGGGGAGAGAATAGAATAGTAGTACAAAAAGATTAGTGGTTTGACATACATATCTGTACTTCCACAGTTCGTTTGTGGTGAATATATATGTTTTTTCTGTCTTAATCTTAGCCGTTTAGGTCTTTCGAATTTGCAAAAAACGAATGAGAATTATACAGTTCACTCTTAGTAACTAACACTTTTCTTAATCAAGCTTGTGGTAGTTCTTAGCACAGAATTATTTTATTTTTTGTGATTTGCCAGATTTTTAAGGATAAAACACGATATTCACTTCAGAATTGATTGTCCTGGCACTAATATATATCCTTATGGAACAAATTATAGAGACCGACCAAGGAAATAAAGACCGACAAACTAGGCCTACAAGATAAAGCACTTGAGACATGAAGCATTTCTTGCAACCAAAACAAAACCATATCGACCAGCAAAGGCTTGTTCTGAACTATGCCACTAGATTGATACTGCTAGCCTATTGTGGGATGACGGCCACCTTCATATTTAAGTAAGGCTGCCAAATTCTG